AGAGCTGCAGGCCACCCCCAACGGCTCCACAGCCGCCCCCCCTCGGTGCAGGCCGCTGGCTGCAGGCACCCGCTTGTTTTAACTCGGGAAGAAATCAGGGGTCTCCACTTTCTCAGTCTCAGTTTGAGGAAGACTCTTTACAAAAGAATTAACATGTGATTAAACCTTTTTTTAATTCATGGGCTACAAAAAAGGACACATAGAATTCCACTGTTTGCCTGGATGCAGGCAGTGGGCAGAGGCTCCGCCAGGCTCCCTGGGGCTGGAGGGCCAGGGCCGCCCTCGCTGTGGCCCCTGTGCGCAAGGCTGGGTCAGGGCCCTTTTGTGTTAATGCTCACGAGGCTCCCGGGGTCATGGAGGCGGGCGCTGGGACAGAACAACTGGTTTCTGGAGTTTGACTTTGCACTTAGAGGTGCCCCTCAGGGTCGGATGTGAGCCCTGCCTGCCACGGAGGGTCCCCTCCCCCAGCACCCTGGGGTCCTCGTGTTTGCTGCTCTCTCCTTTGCTGCCCGTGGCTCCCACCCTCCACAGAGAGGGGCCTCTGCAAACATGCAGGAGTGGGTGCTCCTGGGGAGGGCACCTGGCAGCCCCACCCTGTGAGGCCCAGAGGAGTGGTCTGGCTCAGTTCCTCATGGTCTAGGACTCCCCTGAACCCCTCCCCAATGCCACCATGCAGTCCCCACAGCCCCTCTGTCTGCAGAGGCCAGGCTGATGGTGCTCCCCCTGACTCCGGGCAGCAGGGTGGAGCCCATGAGTGGCAGCCAGGCTGCGCCCTGCTTGAACAGAGAGGACCAGTGTTCAGAGAGATGCAACCTCTCACTGAGAGTCAGGAGCGGCATACACACCCAGGAAGGGGTTTGGGCTGTAGGCTCTGCTGGCCCAGAAGCAGCACCTGGACCAGCAGCTGCCCAGTGCAGGTTGCTTCTTGGCGGAGAAGCCAGCTGGGCTAGGGGGGTGGTGGGGAGGGCAGAGCAGCCTGGACCCCGGGACAGCCAGGTGCCTTCCCAGGACAGCTCAGTGCGCTGCCCTCCAAGTGACCGGGCCCATAAGGAAGTCAGTATTAGAGAGCCAGTGGCTCTTGGGCTTGCCTGCCCTGGCTGCTCCAACCTGTGCCCCCACGACATCTCAAAGCCTGAAGGCACCAGGGACTCGGGCCCAAGTGGGAAACTGAGGCAGCGTGCAAGGTCATGCAAGTAGGGAGTGGGACTCTGGAGACAGGGAGAAGCCGGGGCCTGGGTAGGCCAGCCTTCCATTCACTCCATCCAGCGCCAAGCCCAGAGGCCCTGGAATCCAGGTCCTGGTGGTTTGGGGTGACCAGGTGCACTCTGCTCAGCTGTGCCCTCAGGGGCCCATGGCAGGCAACTTAGCTCAAGACCCTGCAGGGAGCAGCCCCTCGCTGCCTGTTGTCTCTTGACAAAGGCAGAGGCTGTGTTTTTACTCTCCTGCCCTCTCCTCCCTGCCCTGTATTTATTTATTTATTTATTTATTGCTTGTGCTGAAGACCAAAATAGTCTCCCTCTTTAATGCACTTGAGGATGGAGGGTGGCTGGGCGGGGCTATGGTATGTGCAGAGCACGGTTCACATGGCCCCTGGGAGAGTGTGAGGGGGTGTGCTCACGCTTGGTGTGTGGAGAGCATGTTAACCCACTGAACGTTCCGCACACAGGTGAGTGGGGGTGTTTGTGCACATGTGAGTGCATGTGGCGTGTGGCAAGTGTGTGTCCGTGCATGCATGTGTGTGTACTTGGTGTGTGGTCTGTGCTGAGCAGGTGTGTGGCCTCCCAGGCAGTGGGATTTCCAAGAATTTTCTCAGTAGCCTGGACCAGGAGGCCCAGAGTTGGGGGTGGCTGAAGACCTGGCCTCGGGCCTCCTGTGGGAAGGCCACGCCAGCAGGAGTGTGTGTGGCCGAGAGAGTGGGCGTCAAGTGTGTGGGTTCATGTGGGATTTCTCATCTGTGTTCAAATGAGACATGCAGTGATTGCTTTGCCGGTAAGTGCATGAACAGTGGGTGCATCATACACGGCGCTGTTGTACAGATGTGTGCATAGGACAATCTGTGTGTGGATCTGGAATGATAACATAGATGTATGGTATGTATGTGTGCAGGTATATACACACACGCGCATAGTTATGTGTGTGCTTACCTGTAGGGGAGTGTTTGTGTGTTTTATATGAGGGCGTTGGTTTGAATGTTCACCAGGCTGTATGGCTGGGCACAGTGCTCAGGATGGACACCAGCCAGCAACGTCAGCACAGCTGGCTCAGGAGTCCCCTGGACCCTCAGCTCTGAGCATGTCCACGTGGAATGTGTGTGGGTGAGGCTTCCGGGTGCCTGGGTGTGAAGTGATGTCTACACACGTATGTGAGTCCTTGACCTTCAGCAGTGAGTGATTGTGTGTGGGAGGCCACGTGTGTATTTGTCCCTCTGAACATGTACATGCATGTGGTACGTTTGTGTGGCAGCTGTGCCAGGTTCTGAGCAGGGCTGGGGCCTGCCTGCTGGGGTGGTATGTATGTGTGTGCGTGTGTCAGGAGTGATGCGTCCATGCGTGTGCCTTGCATGCAGCTCTCTGCCCCGCGGTGCCGTGCCGCCCAGTTCCTGCCTGCACGGGGTCCCGGGGGGTTGGGGCCTGGTAGGAAGGAGCCCCCTGTGTAGGGGTGTCTGCCCTTTGTAAGATAACAAAATGTCAAATATATTTTAAGTGGCAAATTTCCATGTGATTTTCAATACCGAGCGGTGTCTGAAGACATGGGCCTGGGGACTAACCCTCATTAAATGCGTTTTGGCCTCCTTGAGTGCCACCCTGTGGAGACGTGTGTTTGAAGGACCTGCTCGGCTCCCCACGTGCGCCGTTCTGTGCTCCTTCAGCCCTGTGTCCACAGCAGTGGGGCTCCTGGGGCCGTCTAGGAGGTGAGTGGACAAGGCAGCAGCTTGGGGACAGAGGACAGACAGCCTCCTCGCAGAGCCTGGTGCGTCCTTCCAACAGCCCCTCCCCTTCCCCAGACCCTCTCCCATGTGGGCCGAGGAGCCAGACCATCCACCCCAGACTATGCCACCCTCCCCAGCTGGGCGACCTTGCCATGCCCTTGTTCCCTCTGGGCCTGGGCCTCCCACCTTTCCTTCCTTCTGCAAAGATGTGATGTGCACCTCCTGCAGGAGAGCAGAGGCTCACTCAAACCCACAGCCCTGGGAGGCCCCAGTGATACTACAGTCTGGTTTTTGCCGATGTGACAAGAGAGGAAGCTGGGACCGACGGGGACTGGGTGCCCCTGCTGCAGCCGAGTGGGAGTGTAGGACAGACGAGGCTGCTGGCAGGGCTCCCATGGGCGGGAGGAAGACATGCAGGCCCAGTGGTGGGAGAGACTCATTTACACCAGGGCTCAGCCTCCAGCTTTCAGCGCCTCCTGGCCGAGGCCATGGGGAGAGAACCCTCGCTCACACTGTCTCCACAGCTGGAGAGCTGCATCAGCAAAGGGCCTGGGGTGTTGCCTTGGGTTGCACCTCGGCCCTTACCCCAGGATGGGTCCCTGGAGGCTGCTCTGGCAAACAGTTTGGACAAAAAGGAGCAAAGAATGACCTGGCACCTAGTCCATCCTTCCTGACTGTCAGCCGCAGCCCCGCCCAGGCCTCAGTTCCCCATGTGCAGTCTGGCATGAGAAGTGATGCTCTTTGAGGGCCGAGTGCTGGGCATGTTTGCTGGTCCAGGTGTTAGAGAGCCTCCCCTTCCCTTCCCTCCCCTCCCCTCCCTCCCCTTCCTCTTCCCGGCTGAGGTGGTGCTTACCCCTGAGGAGGCCTAGGACAGGGTGAGCCCACTCAGGGCCCCAGGCAAGGCTCTGGGGCAGTGCAGGGGCCCTGACTGTGTACTGTACCACCCAGGGGGCCCTCACCATCTACCCCATCATGACAGCAATGGTGACGTCCTCACAGCCTCAGGCCTCTGGAGAAGAGCTGCCCAGGCTCAGTGGGAAGGGGCTCCCGTGCAGCGAGGGGTCACAGGTGCAGGAGGCACAGATGGGGCCGTGTCAACAGACACCCACAACTTCTTGTGAACCCACTGATGGGCCAGGACAGTGGTCAGCAAACTGCAGCTCGCGAGCCACATGCGGCTCTTTGGCCCCTTGAGTGTGGCCACAAAGTTTCAATCGCACTGTACGTGCGCGCCCGCATGTGGTATTTTGTGGAAGAGCCACACTCAAGGGGCCTCAGTTTGCCGACCACTGGGCCAGGACAACGAAAGGGCTGTGTGCCTCATACTAATAGACACACAGCATGCACACAAACACACATACACCTCCAGTGCACACACACAACATTGTATAGAACAATATTCGGCCACGAAAAAGAATGCAGGCAACACTGCGGGAGAATCTCGCAGCCACAATGTTGAATGAGAGGGTCCCGACGCCGAGGGCCCTGCCGGGCAGCTTTGAAGAGTTGCCTGGAGTTCATGCCCCACGGGGAGTCCAGAACAGACGCCCTGTTGAGGACAGAGGCTGCCTCGGGGAGCAGGTCGGCCTGTGGCTGGATGTCCAGGGACAGACTGTCCCGTTCGAGCAGGGAGCTAGGTGTGGGCTCAGAGAACAGGCAGCTCTTGGCCCGGGAGGGAGGCCTGACGAGGGGAGGGCCTGAGGACAGAGTCTCCACAGGAGAGTCCAGGTTGGGCTGGGCCTGGGCCGACTGACTCCAGGTGTGTGGGAGCAAGAAAGACCTGGGGAAATG